CTTCAGATGGCAATGAAGAACTCAGCTCTGAGGAGTCATGCCTCTTGAGTCACAAAAAAGGGCTTGATCCTCAGAGAGTAGCGGTCCTACATGAGTCTTAACAAAGAGAGAGATTAGCTGTTCTCATTCTGGCTGCTGCCAAGTGGGGCACAGGACACAACATGGTATGCATTTAAAAACGTCAAACTCCAAAAACTGTCTAGCAGCTAAAATCTACTGAAGAAAATCCATGATAATTATGCTAGCAACAATTGTTCAGCATATATCTTCACAACTAAATACACAGTGAGTATTCCAATTCCTCTTTATATTTTACTTACTCTAAATGTTGTACCAGGGTTAAAAGAATTTAACTTATCACGTGCCTGTGAAAATGTGGGAATTTGAACTGAAAATGGAAGCAAGCACAGAAAGCAAACCTTGATATATGAAGTAAATGATACGCTAATATAACGACACAAACAGAAGTGGAAGCCGCAGTTAGCACGGAGCTGACTACTTGATAATAGATTATTCATATCTTCCTTCAACCCAACAATACACTTGTAAACCACAACACCAGGTTGTATATCCATATACAATGCAAATAATGAATAAAATTCACAAATACATTGCAGTATGTAATTGTAGGATGTTGTATTGTACAAATACTAATAAGCAATGATAATTTAAACCAGACATTTCAAAGATATCTGTGCCCTGATGGAAATTTTTTATGTTTGGACTCCTCAAAATGATTTTGTTCTCCAGTTGATATGGACATTGAACTGATGATATATGGTTGAAAGAATAAGGAAGCAAATTTATTAGTCCTAGCGATTGAGCCTAGATTCTGGTGTATGGAGGATCTACTGCTACCGAGGAGCATACTCTGCTCTGTCTGATTTTTATTAATACTACTTTAAATTGAAATCTCTACTGATGGCCGGTGTTTATCATACTGGTCTCTGAATCTTATATAGGGTAGTCCATGGCTCTAGCTTTTCTGTGCCAGATCCAGAGTTAAATCAGAAATGTTTTTCATTCCCGTAGCTACTATAAGAAGTCCATGTCCTAATTTAGAATAAACTAATAGACCTGGATACAACCCTCTGCCTATTGCATCTCAATTTGTGAAGTATAAGGCTAAGAAAATGATTTCTAAGTTAACATTCATTCCATCAACTAGCACAGTTCATCTGTGTTCATCTTTATACTTCTACCTCAGCCAGAAAACCCCACTAACCTTTGTCTTTGGGCCATGTTCTTAATGTGTGTACAAAATGGCCATTTTTCATGACAGAGGATAGAAATGTTTCTTGAAAGCCAATATTTTGCCTTCACTCATCAGTTCTCTCCTCATTATTAGGAATGTTCCATAGTTTCTGCAATTTCTTCCTTTGCTCTGACCTGAGTTCCATGGACCAAGGGGTCTTGACTGGATCTCTGGAAGCAGTGGACTGATTTCACTCTGCTTTTCTTCCCTCAGCAAATGTTTGACCTGCTGTTCAGTTCAGCCCACACTCTGGTGGTCTCCCCCACTGCTGATCTAAACACATGCTCCCTGTCAGTTTTAACGTTAGCTGCCAGACCCACATCCTCAATTTACTATAGCCCCACATGCAACTGGAATATGAAGACACTATAAAAACATGGGCTCCTGCTTGTGCACCCAAGCTTCTGTCATACACACTGGAAATAGTTTATCATTTGGAGCTGGACAGATATATTCTAGTTTCAATCTTACTTGAACTTTCTAGCTATGTATCCAAGTATATGACTTCTAACATCTCCCTGAAAGTAAGAAGCAAATAATAATTTTCTCAAGACTATGTCAATAAACAGAATTAAACAGATCATGTCTAACGTGTATGGTATCTTAAAAAAATTGAAAAGGGAGAGACGAAACTGAGGTAAAATAGTAAACAATCAAATAGGGCAATAAAATCTATATGAGGCAATGAAGCTTATTGGAGGACCGTGGGCACAGAAAGATCAAGGTTAATAGCAGGTTTAAAGGAAGTAGAGTTGCTTACTGACAGATTAGATAAAGGAACTGAAGGGGAGAAAAGGATCACAGATAAGCACAAAGGCAAATAGGTGGAGGAAGTTAAGAAAACCAAGACAGATAACATCAGGAAGCTGGCACTGAGGGGCAGTTCAAATGGAAAAGCAATGTATTAAAATATAACTTGCAGATATTTAGATAAATTAAAGTGAAAGGTCATTGAAGAACCAAAACCCAGAGCAAGTATGATGGTTAATCTGGATTGATATCTTGGTGGGATAAAAATACAGTTCCAGGAAACAGCACATAATACAACGGAGATCATTAGGCAGGATAGACAGGAACGAAGGAAAAAAGTAGTGTGGTGGTAAATAGTTTAAATGTTGAAGAGTCATGGGGAGAAGCAAAGAATTACGCTTTCTGTCCTGCCTCCTACTTCTCCCACTTTCAGGAGTGATGATAAGCGTGGTGGGTATTCTATTAAATTCAGCATGTGTGTGAGCCTTGCACGGGAGTCCCTGGGAATAACTTGCCTGATGCCTTATAAGTAAACAAAGGTTTAAATTAAGAGAAACTTTGGACCAAGTCCTCACATAAGTGATAGTAAAGATTTAAGAGCAGGTGCTTATGCTCAAAGAAAACAGGGTCATTTGTTTGTTTTTATGTGGTGGGTGGATGTGTAAGGCGATGCATTGAAGAATGGAAGGGTGACAGAAGCATCTGGAAATGTCCTGGCAAACCAAGTATTTTGGTCACTTTGATTATTAACCAGTAAATATTGTCTTGATTAACTTTCCATGTGTGTAAGCTATCCTAATTCTTAATAACTTAGCTAAACGTATTCCATTGACACTTCTACCATACCTCTTTCTACTATCTTCATTGTCTTACTTCTTTGGCCTCTGTCTTAAACAACCTGTGCACTTTGGATTCTCCTATTTACAAGCAATTGTTGTCCCTCTCACATCTTCTGTGCAGCAAGCAAACTTTCACGTTCTGCTAACTATTGCTACCTGTTTCTTTCTTTCTTTGTGTGTGTGTGTGTGTGTGTGTGTGTGTGTGTGTGTTAAACAGCTTTAATCTCGGTCCTTGTGGCTTCTCGGCACAGTAAGAAATATTGCACATGATCAACATGCTTTGTTCTGGGAATGAGGACAATGGAAGGGTGAAAATCACCTTCTGAGAAAGAACAACCCGAATTGGGAGGGCACAGGGGTGGGGAAAATCCTCCCCATGCCTGTGGCAAAGTGCAGGAGCCCCCCACCCCAAACAAACCTGAGTCCAGCCCCTCTGGATAAGTTACCTCTGTTTCTAATCCCTCTCATCTGTTTTTTTTTCTCTCAGTGAACTGATCTTCATACCCACACCACTGTCTTTTGGTCTTTAGTGTATTACTAATTAATGTTAAGAACACACACACACACACACACACACACACAAACACTTTCCTGATTAAATAGTAGACATCAATAACTTGCCTCAAATTCACGGGAATGTTTTCAGCCTCCTTGTTCACTACCCTGACACGCCATGATTAGCACACATTCCTTGTCCCTGGGGTCAGCCACCTTCGCCTGTCTGTCTATGTAGGACCATTGTGTGGAGAAACACACTGTATGAAAAAGACTTGGAGGTTGTTTATTGGGGAACTGTCAGGCCATTTGAAAGGTGTCTCATTGTGTATTTCTAGTCAAATAGCAATAACAATAATAGCGTCTAGGCAAATGAAAATGGCATAGATAGACTTCTTTATGGACATGTCATGATGAAGAATGACTTGACTATCTCCTAGCAAACTTTCTATTTGAGGACATTTGCCATTCCTAAGTAGATGTAATTTCATTTCAAACCCAGAGAATATTTACATAAGCAGGTGTCAAAGGGGGCAATCTACAAAGTTACTCTCATATCAAGTAATTCCAAAACCCATTAGCTTTTAGGAAATTTTTCTTTTGGCCACTTTGCAAATCACTTGACCATGTAAACAAACTGATTTACAGGTTTTGACAGAAGGAATGTTTTTTAAAAGAGTCTTTCCTTTTGCTTTTATTGTCACTGTTCAAAAATCACTCAGAGATAAGAAGATAGGAGCTGAGAATGTCCGGCTTGGCTTCCTTAGCTAGACTCAATACTTTTGGAATGGTAAATGTGATCTGACTGTTTAAATAAAATTGTGGGCTATTTCCCCCAACACATGAAGAATAGTAAGCCAGTGGGTGAAATAGTTGTAATAGTTCTTTAAGTAACCACATGAATTCTTCAGGGATTTTTTTCCCTGCTTTTAAAGCCACAAATAGCTTATAAAACTTGAATAAAATTATAATAAGACAAATCAATAACATTATCAATATTTTACCATTTTGGAGTGCTGTTATAAATCAAAACATATATTTTAGCAGCAGAAGCAATTGAACTATTAACCTCGTCTAGGCTGACACATAAGAAAGGGAGAATGCTAATTACTCTGATCTATACAGAGTGCATACAGTTATTAAAACATATATAATTTTAGGGGGCAATTGAAACACAGAAAAGGATTTAGCATGCTATCTATTCCTTTCCATTGAGCTAATAAGCTTCATCATCAAAACACAGAGCCCAGGTTGCCAGCATCAAGTCCAGTTCTCTTGCTGATGGATTGTGAGGCCATGATCAAATCACTCAACTTTTCACACCTACACTTTACACATTTTTAAAAATAAAGCGTTAAAATGATAGTCTCTCAAATGTCATTGTGAACCTTTAAAAATTAACACGTTTATTATAACACAAGGACTGCCAAGGAAATACCACCTACTCACACACACACACAGATGCACACACACACACAGATGCACACACACACATGACATACACACTTTCAGATTTGTCTAATTTGCGGTGAAATCATTTCAAATGTATTTTTAAATGCCGTATGAATCAACTCTCCCTAAACACATCTGAATGCATAATAATGAGCTCCTAATTTTTCCAAAAGCAAAGTCAGAACAAAGAGAAGAGAAACATCACTAACCATTGAGCCAGTAGTGTTCTGAAATGTCAGTTCTGATGTAATGGTGGTCCTGGGTCAGCCCAAGGGACCTCGTGAATGCAGTGTCCTTGCCAAGGAAATCAGAAGCTGTTCCAGAGTAGAGGTACTCGTCTGCAAGGAGGAAAGCAAACAGGACGGCTAAGACATAGAAGCGGAGGTCCGCACAGGATACAGCGGGCCACACAACACACAAGTGGACGGATTAACACTAGAACACGTGCTTCGTACATTTTTCAGATGTTGAAGAACATGCTTAGATGGGGAGATAACTCAACTAACTGATAAGCAGAGACTGAATATCCAAAAAGCCCAAGAACTTCTGATTTGACAGGGGTACATGCATCGACTTCTCTTTGGATATCCTTCAGCATTTATCTACAATAAGCAGCTAAATATCATATTCAGGAGTTCATTTTTGTAGCAACTGTCACAGTATTAAAAATTAAATGCCAAAATAAGAACGGATGGCCCAATTAGTATTTACTTAAGTGACACAACCTCAGCGTCCACAGCTTTTCCTTGTCCAGCCCCTGCTGAAAGGGAGTTTTCAACGCTGACGTCACTCCTTGTAATTATAACATGTTGCATTCCTTGAGATGACCATGTCTCTAAAGCTCTGATAAACAAGGGGAAGATTGTCCGCTTGCTGCATCCTAAACTTTTGGTTCTATATGAAATGAAGTGAATGTTTCATTAAAGGGAGAAAAAGGAAAAATAGAAACAAGAGGAAAAGAGGGGAGAGGGGAAAGGATAGCATAGGAGATGGAATCAGGGAGAGGCTGCAGAAGGTGAGGAGGAGGAGGAGAGAGGAAGCACAGAAACAGAGGAGTAGAAGAAGAAAGAACAGGAACCGAGGGAGAGAGATAAGGAGGGGCAAGTGTGAGTGGGTTTAAGGGTCAATGTCCTCTGTTTGTACTGCTTGTCAGAGCACTGGGGAGGAGGCAGGAAGGAGGCTGTCCCTGCAGCTGATATGTTGTACTTCTAAGAGCTAAAACCCTGCTATTTCAGGAGACTTTTACAGGAAACTTCATCAGGTTACACCCAAAATATAGTAAAAATGGCTCATCTGTATAGATCATTTGAGTTTCTTATGTAACCCTACAATGGATAAAAACAATATCGTCATGGAAATATGACTTATTTTTCAAAGCTGTCTTCAAAAGCCTCTCTGCATGTGCAATGATGGAAACACTTTCAAGATCCTTTGCTTAAGGTCCTCTTGGGACGATTCAACCTAAATGTCAGTGGCCAAAGGCTAAAGAAAAAAAGCAAAACAAAACAAAAGGCTCAAGTGAAACCCAAGGACATAAGGTTGTCGCAGGGAGTACGTCATCTCCACCACTGGACACTTTTCCAACATGTCAGATAAATGTCAATTTTTATTGTGAAATAAAAAATTTAAAATACGGAGGAAAAATGATAATGCCAATAAGGATCTGAAGAGAAACCTAAGAGAAAAGGAAACAATATAATAATATGCCATTTGAAATATAAATATAGTTATAGTTATAATTATACTTCAAGCATAGCAATATTTGACAAAGTGTGTTTTAGCCGAAATTTTGAACTAAATATTCAGGTTTAAAAATAGTCATGATTGTTTCTAGAGTATACACAGATAACAGATTTCTAAGAGGAGTAAACCATATCCACAATGCGCTTTTGTTTTTAAGACTATATCAGTACAGCTTAACAGATGAAAATCATCGTGACATCTATTGAGAAGAAATGAACATGGGTTGCATAATTTCAAAACACTCACTCACTTCAAAGCAAAATTCCTGGTTGTAACCATGTGGAAAATACAATGGCATGGTGCTTCACTCTTATCATCTACTCAGACATTTGATAGAGGAGGTATATGTGAAGAGACTAAAGCCACGAACCAACCAGAGAAAGGCTTATATAGTGTTTAAGATTCACGGATCCTGCTGATGTTCTTCGGAGCATGATTCAAATCATACAGCATCTTTTCTATAAGAATTTAAGATATATACAAAGCCAGCCAGGGCTACATGTGTGTGAGTGAAAAAGAATAAAAGAAAGAAGAAAGAAAGAAAGAAAGAAAAGAAGGAAGGAAAGAAAGAAAGAAGAGAAAAAGAAAAAGATCTGCAAATTTTCATTATATGAAATATGAGAGAAAAAATGCTTAGACATTATATAGCTGTATTCTGTAGCTTGATGCATTGTTTATTCATTACCTACTTAGAAAATGCTTTATGTGACACTCTTCCTGAGTAAATACAGATCAAAACTGAGTATTAGAAAATCCCAGGTAAGTAAAAGTTTTTTGAAACAATGAAGTGTGATATTTGCATTAGAGGGAGTTCAGTCAGACATTTGTGTAAAAAGCCCCTGTGCAGACATGAAGGAATTCTGTCTCCTCACTCACTTCACGGGTGACGATGCTCCTATAGAGAGACTGGCACCAATATGTGGGGAAGGGCTAATCCAAAATTATCTTCAATTCAGTCAGAAAATGTGGTTTAGTCTACACAGGCCTTTTCAGAAAGTCACTTAGACATAAGCCTTGTTTGCACTGATCTTACCTGTCATTACTGAAGCAAAAGGCTGCTGAGGATCAAAGGGACATTTCAGTCTGCCAGACTCCAAGCTGTGCATGTCTAGTTTAAATATGAGTTCCTGTGGTAAGAAACACAATGACGTTTTCAAATGTATCTCGGTCAGCAAGAACAGAGAAGATAAGAATTGGTTCCCATTCATTAACTCGATAGAAATGTACTGAGCACACAGCACACGCATCGTGCTGGGACTTAACTCTTTCGGCACCGTTTCATCCTGCAAGACTCCATGCCAAGTTTTGTTTCCTGTTTCCAAAGAGATTCATTAAGTGTTCAGGCTGAAAAGGAACACTTACTCAAAATTCATTTTACCTGCTCAACTGTCAGTAAAAATACAACACAGAATACCAGTATTTTCAAAGATTAATCAGTTTCCCTCCTGGGTGCATTGGGTATGTGTGTGTCTGTGTTAGTGTGTGTGTGTGTGTGTGTGTACATATTCATGATGGTGCTTGCACTCTTGTGTGGTCATGAATGTAGAGGTCAGACGTTATTTTAGGTGTCTTCCTTAGTTGCCGTCCACATCAGTTTTTTAGGCAGGGTTTCCCATTGAATGTGGAGCTCAGCGATTTGGCTGGAGCGGCTGGCCAGCAAACTCAGCTATCATACTCTCCATTTGGTCAGTGCTGGATTACAGACATGAGCAGCATTTGTGCCGTATGCACCTTGTAGGAACCTGAGCTTAGATCTTCATGCTTTTACAACAAAAACTTTACTGGCCGAGCCATATCCTCAGCACAGGTTTAATAATTTACTTAGGCTAATAAAATCAGAACTTATCTCACTATTTAAACCTCTCTCTCTCTCTCTCTCTCTCTCTCTCTCTCTTTCTGTGTGTGTGTGTGTGTGTTTGTGTGTGTGCATGTGTGTGACTGTATGTTCCATAGAGCAATATGTGTGGAGGTCAGAGGATAATCTCAGAGGCCAGACGTCATCTCTCACCTTGTCTGAGACAGGGCATGGACCATGAGCTTTGGAGGATACTCTTGTCTCCATTTCAAATCTCCCATAAAGAAGTCCTGAGATTACAGAGCTTCTGTGCCTGGCTACATGGGGGTCCTGGAGACCTGAACACCATTCTTCATACTTGCATAGTGATAATGTTTACCTAGGTAGTCATTTCCCTGTCTCCAAATTAATATTTAAGAAATAAATTTGCTCCCTGGCATGGTGGTGCACACCTCTGAGACTGGTACCTGGGAGGTGGAGGCAAGAAAATCAGGAGGTCTGAGCCACCTCTTGATACACAGAGAATTTTATAATACTCTGTCCAGAAACAAAATCAAACTAACTTGTCTCAAAACAAACAAAAAACAATCAACCCCCCCGCAAGAATTTGCTTTGTAATATGTGCATTTCAGGATGATAATTACTGTTAGTTTAACTAAATATTTTTATGATACCAAATTATCTAAGACTGCTGACTTTTACAAATGCTTAATGGCATAAAAGTGTTCTCAAATCGACAGTGAATTTTCAGAGATGTTAGTACGTGTGGGGGAAAAATCCTGTTGTTGTATTTTTGCTATTGTGAAAACACTACTCATGGAAGACACATAGTTATTTTGGCGGAAGCTTTTGTTTTATAATAGTGGCCACAGACAGAATGACATTGGCAGACTTTTGGTATTCAGAAGAAAAATCATCGTATGTAGAACGTTTCAAGAAAAATGCGCATGCATAATGAACACAACCCCATGCTCCCTAGTGTCCAGTAACAATGACAGCACCACCTTCCAGCAGCTAGGGAGACGACTCAGCCTGTGTAGTCAGAGACACCCAAACTGCAAGCATTGTGGGAGCATATCATTGTTACAGCAGGTCACTCTTACATCAAGAAAGAAACACACACTGCTATTTCAGTGAAAAAAAGCAATGAAATGAAAGGGACAGAAGACACCAGGTTAATTCCTGAATTATGTTTTCATTTTTTTTTTTTTGAGAGCTCTTCCTCTTCTTTTGAACAAGGCTAATAGGAACTATTGTCTCACCCAAAAGTAGCTGCAGCAATTTCAATGACACTGGCTAGCAATTGCTATCTAATAAATTACAACAGGCATGTTTTAATGCAAATAATGACATGTAATAGTTGAAAGAGTATTAATGAAGATATGGGCACTTGCTCACATCGTCTACTGAATACCCACCCCAAATCAGCAGTGGAACTACGCTAATAAACCCAGCTTTGCTTATGGAAACATCAGGGCAGAAGGGCTATGTACTTGGCTATTGCTAGTAACTAATACAGTCTCATGGATTTAAAAATTTCCTGGATGCATAGTAAAAAGTGATCATGAGATATGATCAGACCCGACAGCCTTTCTCTGAGGTCGCCTGAGGAAAAGGGAGAGTGACATAGTTAAATGTCCCAGCAAGAATGCACTTCTGCTTCCCAGCTGTGACTAGGGAGTGCCTGCGGGACAGGGGAAGACTGCAGATAGTGGCCATCCCAGATGTTTACTCATCATTAAAAGCACATCATTTTCCACTGGCTAAACAGACCGATTTACTGTAATCTCTTCGAGAAGTACACGGCAAGGGAGCAAGTCTTTCCAAACCAACTCCAAGAAGAGAAAATGATATTAACTGATGAATTGATGCTTTTTTTCCAAGACTACATGGTTTGCACGAGATTCTCAGTTTCTAAACTGCCATTTTATAGAATATACTTCACACAATCCATTTAATTTAATTAATTATGAAAATGCACCTCTTTGGACTGCACAGACAGAAATAATGTTAGCTGCTGGAAGAGGACTCTGTCAAGACGGCTCAATGGCACGAAGGTTGCAAAGCATGACAAGAGTGCTTTCCTCAGCGCTCACCTAATGGAAAGACCCAGCCCTTACCCCTAACGTTGACCTTTGACCTCTACACATGCTCCACAGTACATAAGTGGCACAAAACCCTGCCCACTCACAGAGATTTAAATGCAATTAAATATTTAAAGAAAAAAAACACTGTTAAGGAAGTAAACAGATAATAGGCTCACAGGAAATGATTAAATATCAGCATACACCCATTTGAAGATGAGCTGTTTCACCCAAAAGGGGCATCCTTTATTTCCAATTTCCTTTTCTTCTTTCCTTTTTTCCTTTTTTCCTTCCTCCCTCCCTCCCTCCCTCCCTTCCTTCCTTTCTTTTCTTTCTTTCCCTCTTTCTTATTCTTTCTTTGTGTCTTCTCTCTCTCTCTCTCTCTCTCTCTCTCTCTCCTTGTTTCTTTCCTGTTTTTAAAATTGAAGCTGATTTTATAACCTGGAACTACATATGGAGTCCTGACTAGTTTTGAAGCCCTCTGACCCTCCTACCTTTATCTCCCCAACTACTAGTATTATAGGTGTACACCACAATGCAAGGCAAACACAGTTAACAGATAGTCATCAAAACATTCTATATGTTATAGAACATCAATATAATTTTATGTACTATATATTAGGATATACTTATAGTAATCCATGTTATTTCACAAATTGCATATATATGCATATATATGTAATAATTTTATCTATAGCATTTTTTTAAAGAAAAGCCAGAACATGACATTATGACACAAGAAATCTCCAAAGATGTCTCTGTGTTCATTTCTGTTGGCTATCTTCTGCTGGGCATGAAGCCTACCCTTAAGAGTAGTTTGTTTTCTCAGTGAAACTCCCTTGGAGGAAACTAAATTTTCCTTTGCAAGTGGTTATCAATTGGAGATAGCTTCTGGGTTATGGATGCAGTCAAGTGTCCATTTCTCTTTTCAGCTGTAGGAGCTTAATTGGTGCAAATCCGTGCAAGTCTTGGCTACCTCAGTCTCTGTGAGATCGTATGTGCTGGATGATGTTGTCAATAAATTTTATTTGATACTTAAAATAACTCTCTATTCACTTGCCCTTTTTGTTATCACATGCTACTGAATCAACAAAATCTACCATGTGCACAAAGCTATGGAGCTGGTAAACAGTGAAACTTGAGTCTTGAAACTACTCTTTGAAGCTGTTGACAGCTTCCTTGACCTCTCTTCTGATGTAAGAGCTACAGTAAGCCCCTTGGAGCAACATGGTTAAATGCAGTATGTGCAATTACTAACTCAGCACTTTCCCCAGAAGCTTGTTACAGTTCTTATAGCACTAAATGGTGTTACCTTCCCATCCCTTCCAACTCCTTAGTGTTCATCTTAACTTTCCCTTTCTTCCTTTCATTGTGCCAAACACTGACTGCCTGGCCCCAGTGGGGGTTTTCCTCTAGCCCTTTGCATACATTCTTCTCTCTTCTCATTTTCTCTCCAAGTAAGCTGGTCTATTTGAAATGGAAAGGGTCTGTAAACTTCTATAAATAAAATGTCTTGAAATGAATTATACATAAACATAGTGAGCCATAATGAAGCAGGTTGCCTGTTCTCCAGATCAGCTCAATGTACCGAGTCTCTATCCCTCTACTCTCAACATGCTTTTATTCTGAAAACTCGTAAATTGGACTGCCTGGACCTTCTTGATAAGTCTCTGGCTAAGTAATTAGCTCTATCCAAATTCCCTTCAAGGGAGCTTGACTTTAAGAGTTACGGAGCACTGTTTGCTTCCCTGGCAGGTTGTGAATTTGGCCTTTAGCCTTAGGCCTAAATCTACACACAAGCTGTGGTGTGCTCATATAATTATACCCTTTGCTACTGTTATATATTGCCCTTCATCCGAGCCAGGCTACAGAGCATTACACTGGCAACGAAGAATGATAGATTCCGTTGCCAACTCTCCGTGGGGTTCAGAATTGAACTGTCATGGTTGCTTTACTTTCAAGCAGTTGAGTCAAGGCTAGTTAGACAGTTGGTTAGAGGAGTCTGGTTAGTTAGGCTGGTTGGATGCATGGGTTAGAGAAGAAAATCTGTCTGGCCAAAGTTGTAGGTTTGACCTGGGCATGCATTCGCTAAGTTAAGATAAAGAAACCTTTTTTGTAAGCCCAGATTTTGCTCTCAAGCACAAAGACTGAAAATGCATACAGTTATACACAGGAAATACATGCATAAGCATGAGAATAGTGCCTACAAAGAAACAATATAGAATACACGACCAAAGCTCAACTGGTCATGATGGCTTTGGACAGACACTGTCTTGGTTCAGCTCATTGCTGTCCTGTTTATGATAGACCAAGAAAAATCATTTTCACTAACTTGTATATTAGGGATTACAATGGCTCTAATCTCTGTTCCAAAAATTCCAAAGTGTAAAAAAATGCATGCAGTACACATGCCAATCTATGACACTTGAAAAAAATTATTTTGGTTGAAATTCTGAAATCTGCATGCTTCTCATTTACTAGAAATGCTCATCAATAGTTGGAATAAATTAATCTTAACTAAATACATTTTTTATTTCCATCCCAATAGTTTAGCCCAGAAAATTCAATGACTTCAGTGTGAGTGAATGTTTACATAAAACCAAGAAAACTACTGATATTCATTTAAAGTCCATTGTTAACACATATATCAGCTAGTACATATCTCAAGAACATTTTTATAATTATTTATAATATATAATAACACTATAAGATCATATGTGTAAACTGTATTTTCATAGCATTGTAATTTATAAACATATGTGTAAATGTGTATACAAATACTATTAGAAGGAAAACTGAAAGCACATGTGTTGTTCATAAAAACAATTGTTTATAATAGTTTATATTGCAAATTTTACTTCTCTCATTAAAACAGGTTTGATAGAAAACAGTATAATTTATAAAATGTTTAGAAACATGAAGTCTTATATAACTCATGTTATATTTACTTAGACATGTATAATTTGTGCTGTAGACATTGTAGTAAATTACATTTTCTATTGTTTCATATTGTCAGGGTTTCTGTCCTTCCCGGTTCCCATAATCATTAAGCCCCAAAGAAATTACACAGAGGTCTACATTAGTTGTAACCTGACAGGCCCATTAGCTCAGGCTTCTTATTAACTCTTATAACTTATATAGCCCATTATTCTTGCCTATGTTAGCCACATGGCTCGGTACCTTTTTCAGCAAGGCAGTCACATCTTTCTGCTTCTGTGGTTGGGTCAGGACTGCAGAAGAATGGGCTTCCTTCTTCCCAAACTTCTCCTGTGCTCATTGACCTGCCATTACTTCCTGTCTGGATGTCCCACTTAAACTTCCTGCCTGGCTACTGGTCAATCAGCGTTTATTTAAAATATAATTGACAGAACACAGACCACCATCCCACATCAGTTTCATTACCTCCTTGTTGAGTCCAAGATCAATATATCCACATAGTGGATGAAATGCTCCAGTTCCACACACATAAATGTGAGTCTTATTATAGGGTTGAAGTACTCGGATGAAATTCGCACATTCTGTCTATTGGGTAAAAAAAAGAAAACCATTAGTATATGGCTAATGGACAATGCTTCATTTTCCTTGTTTTAAGAAGGTATCAATTATCCAAGATAAGGAAAATATAGAAAGATTTATGAAAACAGTAGGACAATTTGACTTGAAAAATGGAAGGCAATATAGAAATTGTGGCTAAAGGAGTGGTATTGAAAAGTCTTAAATTTATACTTTTGCAGCTAACTAAAGTGTTGAGACACAGAGCTCTATAGATGTGTCCAGTGAAACCCAGAGAGTGGATATAAACAGATTGGGTATGACACAAACTATCAAAGAGCACAAAATCTCTCCTATTCTGTGGCAAACACAAAACCTAGCCCCTGCATGTCTTACTATCTACCATACCAACTGTCCAAAACCCAGCAAACGAAACAGTGGACATACCACATCTGTGTTCCTACCATAGAGTCCCCTTTATTTTTAAAACTGGAAAGTCTTTTAAATCAGGTTACTTCATGCTGGTTCTTTCCTCATGAACATTTTTATTCCAGCAGAATTTTGAAGACTCACATTTATGTTTTGCACATGCTTATATCAAAACATTTCTTTCCATTTTTACTATCTTTATGGTTATTTTCTATAATTGATTTACTGGTAAATATCAATTCTCTGTTTTTTCTTAGAAAATTTATTCAGTTTATTAAAGAAAATATTAAGTTTATCTACTATAAGTGAACCTTTAGCTCTAGAAAATTTTTGTGAGCAATTTATTTTTTCTTTGCTCTGAGAGAGAAAAATCTCACAGTGTCGCTGAGGCCAGTGAGGAATTGAATAAGGCTCCCCTTAAATTCAGGGCAGCCCCCAGACTGACAAGGACTGGGATTCAGAGTGAAAATCCTATCCTTAGATAGAAACAATTGCTGAGCCATAAATGCATGTTTCAGGACCCCGCAGATCCACAGAACTTTCAGAGCCACTCTAGACATTTATCTTGTATACAAGGCAGGCAAATGTTCAGTTAAAAAATAGGAATCTGAGGAAAAGTCTAGTTTCTCCATTCCTGACTGGCCAGGAACTCCTCATCAATAAAGCAAGGTCACTCATGGACAGTGGGAGATCCTACTGACTACAGAAGTTCCCAGAATCCATATCTCATGGTTCACAGCTGATAGAGTGCCCCAGGTGTAAAACAGGATTCATACAAGATTACAGACAGCCTCGACCTTGCCCAACTACTATCCTTTATCCCAGGAAGGAAACTCTGCCCTGTTTTAGGCAAATAATTTCCATAAGAAGAGGCTGCAGGAGAGACATGTGGACCCTTAAGACTGTAACATTTCTACATTATTAAGTTCATCACCACTATTTAGGGTCACCAACAGCTTTTACTCCTGGAAGACTCCTCAGTTTCCCTGTGAGAGAGGCTGCCTTCTGTTTTGTGTGCTGATAAACAGTCCCCACCTGTTGAAAGTCAGACTCCTATGTAGTTCTGTCCCTACCTGGCCATAGAAATCCACAACTGCTTATAACTCCAGCTCCAGGTGATCTGACACCCTCTTCTGGCTGCCATAGGCAACTGCACACACATAGTGAATATACAGAAAAGCAAGCACACAGGCATATACATAAAATAAAAACAAATCATATTTACAAAACCAAAAAGAGAGAAATGGTGGTTTACCTGGCATGCTTGTACTAGGATGCCAAATTCAGGAGGATGGATTCAGAAAGAAAAAATACTAATGGTTTAGAACAAAGGAGGCAATGAAATGGGGAAAAAAAGCCAATGCAAAAATGTAAAATCATTTGCGATCACCACATAAAGTTTAAGCATGGCATCCAGGTAGGAAGGGAGGTTTACACATCCCCAGCCTTTACTTAGCTTCTGCATGTCCATCATGCTATTTGGTTTTGGTTCTGCACCAGCAAGGGTCCAGAGGCCTGAGAAGAAAGCCATCTGGCTAGAAAAAGACAGTCAAGTTCACTGCCAGTCATTGAAGCACCCTATCAAATGCTTCATTTTACCACATGGTCATTGGATTTAGATGTCAGTTTTGAAGGATCTTAAAGAGATACTTGCATAATAATTAAGACAGCTCCCTTCCAGGTATAGACTATAAAATCTGGATGATATGGGTCTATGTGAGGCAGCACTGTTTAAAAAGGCAACTAGGGGTCAGCAGTTTAACATGCAGTTTAAGATGTGTATGTGGTATTTTAATGATTACAGAACAACAACCACATATCCAGAAATATATCTAGATTGTGCCCCATCACCACCTTTTTTGGGAGGTGTTTTGGGATTAACACTCTGGCTAAATTAACATTAATTCAACAAAGCATGTTTGAGTTTGGAATTATCTGCTAGAGGTCAGAAAATGTCATCCCTGAAGTGTTGTGATTGTGTGTGTGTGTGAGTGGGGTGATGTTGGAAGAGGGCCTTTCTCTAAGGACAGTATTGGTTGCCAAAGGGAAGGAAGGCTGTGATTAGATTATAAAAAGATAAGATCTATGATTTTGCATTTTGCCCAGAGCAGACATTTAAGGCAAACAATCTTTATGGAATGTACTCTACAATGGCCTTTTAATTCATGTCTTCATGTTTTTAAATCTCAGAATTTATGTACTGCTTTTTTTTATGCACAAAGTTTCAAAGCTTTGTTTAAGTGGCATGATTAATAATTAACTTGGTTTAATTCACTCAGTGACTTGCTAGGCTAGTGATGGTGGCGTAATTCTCTGGGGCATGAAGAAAGATAACTTTGAGAAGCAGTTTTCTAAACTTTCCCTGAACCGGCTAGTTTGTCAGTCACTGCTCACAATGGCAGCTGTTGCATTTGAATGATATAGTTTATTGGATTTCTCCTGTTTTCTTTATTCCTCTCATCTAATTTTCCTTTCACTCATAACAACCTTCCCTGACTAGAAAGTGTGCGTGTGTGTGTGATGAGGAATTAATGAGTAATAATGACTAAATTATTTATTATTATATTAATATCATTTTTATACTTATTATTTTCTCCATTCAAGTGTAATGTACGCGTGTGTGAGTGCTAATATGAACTGCATTCCTATGGCCACTGTCCACGTGCGTTGGTCAGAGAACAGATCCTTGGCTGTGTTCTCTTCTCTCATCATATGGGTTTCGGGGGCTGAATTTAGGTCCTCATTCTCACTTGATAAAAAGCACTTTTTCCTGTTGGGCCAATTCACCAGTGCAATGGAAATTTCCTAATTATCTCAGGTAATACTGCAACTTTTAACATGTTGCACCTTATATGTATTTATATAAGAGTTAGGTAAATGTAAAATTAAATTAAAATTCCCAGAATAGCCTGGTGATGAAATTTTAAAGTTTTGTTTTCTATTCAGTTACTAAACAGAAATAACAAACCAGAGGTACTTAGAATCTTGATGCCAAAATTAAATGTAGTGCAGCTCAATGTGTAATTTTAACAACTAAAATATATTAAACTGAGACATCTGTATGAGCTATTGGAAGACACTCATGGTTGAGAAATTCTTGATGTGTTTAGCTCTATTTTGGCAGTGCCTGGAATTGAACCCAAAGTTAGGAGAAACTTGAGATGATACAGAAATGTTGTATCACTGAGTATTTCCCCAGTTACTTAAGGTTTGGTTTTATCTTTGGATTTAACACCATATTGTGACAATAAATTCTTTTACTTTTGTTTTCCTTAAGTGATTTGTTATTGTGCTTTTTTAAATTTTCATTTTGAGACTGAACTTTATGTATGTCAAGCAGACTTTAAATTTGCCATATGAATTGTGGAGTGTCCTCTGTCTCCCAAGTGTGGAGATTAAAAACATGGTTAACCACACCTGCTAGTAATCTCTTACAATCTTGTGATCATTCCCCAGATAAATTTTTAAGATGAAACCTTGTAGACAAAGAAGTTCTTAGGCTTCAAAATAATTAAAAGTATTTAAGTAAATTTCTACTAAATAAAATAAAATTCAAATATATATATTTTTTAAAAACAAAATCTATCAATGTAAATATCTATTAAGAAAATAATCTGTTATAGTAAAAGGACAAAGGAAAACATTTTTAAAGGGAAAAATTACAGATATACCTATGTCAATATTTAAAATCTAGACCTCAAGATAACTGCTTGTTGTGGTTTGGGGAAGCACAGCCTCACATAGACTCATGTGTTTGAGTGTTTGGCCCATAGAAAATGGCACTATTAGAAGGTGTGGCCTTGTTGGAGTAGGTGTGGCTTTATTGAAGGAAGTGTGTCACTGTGGGGGCAGGCTCAGAGAACTCAATACGTTCAAGTCACACCCAGGGAAACACAGTGTCCTTCTACTGCCTGAATATCAAGAAATGGTACTCTCAACTACTTCCCAGCACCATGTTTTCCTGCATGCTATCATGTTTTTCACCATGATGATAATGCAGTAAGCCTCTGAAACTGTAAGTAACCCCAATTAAATGTTTTTCTTTATAAGAGTTGGCATTGTCATGGTGTCTCTTCATAGAAATAAAGCCCTAAGACAAGTGAATATTTTTTATGAGTGAAACTCAGTGTAAAAATAAGCTTTGCAACACATTTAAGCTTATAAGCACTTGTCAATAACATTAACACACGTATATGTCTTTTTTTTTATAACTCTGTTAATCACCAGTAAAAAAAATAGCAAAACATCTTTTAACCAAGTACTGCTGCTTAGGATATATTATCAGGTTCTTTGAAGTCAGTTTCAATACATGAACACAAGAAGCTTTAAGTCCTTAATTGGTAAAAGGTGATGATCTTCTCAATACTGATATGTGAGAATTCTCACACGTAGGATCATTTGTAACAGGAAATACTGGGAATGGCCAATGTTGCAACAATAGGACATTCATGAGATGATGTGGCAAGGATTGCAGAGCTACTTTGGAAACTATTGATATGGAAAAGGCTATGGTACTCTAAGAAGTAACAAAAATCCGTTAGAAGAAACTATGTATATAGTGATTTCATCCTGAAAATTAGAAAATAAGCTTCAAGAATGCACACATTGCAATGTCACCTGATGCCCCAGCTAGTGACTCCAGGCAAGAAGCACATTATTAAAGTGACCCTTCATTGTCTCACACATGACATATTAAACTTTTACAACAAACACATTTAATTTTATGCTTTCTTAGAAAGTAGAAGAATATAGAATTGCAGAATTTCATAGCAGGAAGCTATTTTTTTTCCTGTATGTAATGTTTCACTGTCAAAGCTGGCACCTCTGTAGCTAAACAAACAGATAGCTCAGGCTAACCTCACCTTTGCTTCCTTTTGCCTATACCAAGCAGTTTAATTCAAGCTTTATAAACAAAACTAAAGCATTTTCTTTATGTCTTTCTTTTAGCAACCTTCTTCAAAACAATGCCAGCCATTTCCTGCCATTCTTCCCTCCCTTGGGTTAAACTGAATGACTGTTTTAGGGAGTATAATAGTTCCCACCCCACCTCCCTTCTCCCACCATCCCAATTAGTTAACTTTTGTTAGAGTGAATAATTCACTACTTTGTAGTTATATAGTACCTCGTTGTAAATGAAAAGTCTTTCCAAATACTTGTTAATCCCAAACATGTTCTTTGGAAGTGGGTAAAAATTACTAGAAAGGAGGGAAAGAGAAGGTCATGTAGAGGCATGAAGTCAATGAAACCAAAGACTTGCCTGTTTTCTGTTGATCAGAATCAATGCAATACTGTTTGAAATGAAAATCAATGTTATGGTAATATTAAAAAGAGACATGACTTGGAAAAAAAGATTGTTGACCTATCATGTAGATTTTATGGTGTTAGGAGCATAGAGGACGTGCCCAGACTTCTGGCTTCAGTTTCTGGTTTCAAGTGTGTAGTATTGAATGAGCCATTTGCTTTTGCTGGGTCTAGTCTTTTCATCAGAGAATGAGGTTAAATGAAATTATAACTATCGGCATAAGAAGTAGTTCTTTAAATAAGGTAACTGGTATAAAACTGACAGTCATTATCAGTAACTCTAAAAGAGAACGTAGGTTTAAAAGGATGCACTAAAAAGAAGGAGGGTTGTGATGCAGCATCAAATTTTATAGTCCTGTGTGAAAAAGGGAAAGGCTCTGTACACCTCCAATCCATGGTTAGCAGTGGACGAGCGTAAAAGTTAAAAGCGATTACCAGCTCACAATTGTGGGCTCAATGACAGAACATCCAGAGAAGTTAATCCCCCCTTGTCTTAACTGAACAAGGAAGTTACTGTGTAACTTAGTGAACAGACTGATGGGAAAATGCTCTCACAATGCAGTTTAGTTCCACCTCCTGACATTCATGGTTTATCCTTCCTCTAACTCATGGGAAAACTGACATTAACTTAGCTCTCTTTCCTTACTTCTTTATCAAGTACTAAACATAGATGATTCACAAAACATAAAATTATTCTCAGGGTGTCAGCCATACCACTACGGCTTATTTGACAAATAATTTTGAAAACTGTTGTTACCAAATTACTTTATGCCCACAAGTTCAATGAGAAATTGATTTCTTTCTTCTTCCATGAGCATCATCTCAGTGTGGAGATATTGAGCAGGGTGAAGCCCTTCATGGCACAGGAGGAAGAAAAATATATCCAGAAGTCCCATCCCCTGTTCACTATAATAATCTGTACAGAGAATGCCAGTTTAGTAATAGAAGTAGCAGACAATGTTATTATTCAATAAAAGAGAATATAAAAATTTACTGCACTGTTAGTGTCCAATTTGAGGAGGTCACTTTAAAGTTTCGTACTTACATTTGGATCTTTTCCAGCTAATTTACATAATTCCACCCGTTCTTTTGCAGCAGGCCAATAAATCTGAAAGAATATTTAAAGGTAGATTAGAACAAGCACATTAAAAACATCTGATTTGAAAAGAGACTAAGTAATACCGAAGAATAAACGTCAACTGCACCTTGGAGTCCAAACATAAATATTTTCCAAAACCCCTCTGAAAATCTTTCTAAATGAAAACTGCAATTTTCCTGGTTTTAATGATGTAGTAGCAAATAACTTATTTTCAAAGGCATGTATGCTCTTTTGCGATGTCAATACAACTTTGAGGTAATATTTGTTAAATTCATCATGCTTTTCTGCGTTTCTCCGAGTGGTGGTGCACCGTAGAAATGTGTGGTGAGATGGCAGAAATAGTTCTCTGTCATTCAGACAAGCTTCTACTCCAACCCGAATATTAGAGTCAATTTGCTCACCACACTTAGCATGCATAGAGTACAGACATATCTGGAAAGAAGCTAAATATTTTAGAATTATATCTTATTTAAATATCACAATATCCCTAAAAATAGATATACTTCCCTTCTTCATTTTCATATCAGAAAACTTAATCACATAGAAATGAAATAAAACATAAAATCCACAAAAATAAATCATGATAATCTGACCCAAATTTGATGTCACCAAATCTGAGAATCTTAATCAGTATGGAGCAAACATGGCTTTGGACCGAGGTGAAGAGCATCCTCCCCTTTGGTAAACAGCACTAAATTATATTTCAGAAAATATTTTACACATTTACTTTTATCTGTTTCTTTTCTTTTTAAACAGCTTTGAAATTATGTAAGGATGCAAAATTCAGGCAGTTTTGGTAGTCCATTATAGCTTATAGCAGATAACCCCTCTTAGCTGTGGGCAAGAAGAAACAGAGATTACACACTCAAGGGGGAGATGACACACGTTTCATTCGTATCCAAACTATTTTATCGTGTTTCACACTGATGCAGGAAAACATTTTAATGACTGAAGGAAAGGCATACTCTATGGTATTGTGATGAAGGGCCTGGTTAAACCAGAAGAATGAAAAGCATTTAGATATTGCCAGTGTTTCATGGTATGATCTTCATAATGTGATCTGGAGTATAGTATCTCTGAGCCAAGGAAAACAAAAAATGCCACGCAAAACCCACTCAAAATGGACAAATACAGTGAAGTAATGAAATTTCAAGACAAAGAAAGTCTGCTATATTTAGAGAACATTTCTGTAATCTACAAATCAGTGGTGTATGCAAAACAATGGGCGAGCAAACAGTGCGCTTAGGTGATGAACCCACCTGGAAGTGTGAGCCACAACAAGATTCAGAAATGCCATTTACTCAGAATTGTCTAGCCATAAATAAAGGACATTGAGCCTATAATTTGTGATCCTAGAGAAGGTAAGTAAGAAGATGAACCCAAAGAAAAACATATAGTCATCCTCCTGGATATGGGAAGTAGACATGATTGCTGGGCAAAAACTGGGAATTTCGGGGTGGGGTGGGATGGGGGTAAGGGGAGATGGGAAGAGAAAAGTGAGAAGGGGAGGATGGGGGGAGCTTGGGGGAATGGGATGGTTGGGATAAAGGAAGGGTGGATATGGGAGCAGGGAAGTATATATCCTAATTAAGGGAGCCACCTTAGGGTTGGAAAGAGACTTGACTCTAGAGGGGCTCGCAGGTGTCCAGGGAGATGTCCCCAGCTAGTTCCTTGGGCAACTGAGGAGAGGGAACCTGAAATGACCCTATCCTATAGCCATACTGATGAATATCTTGCATATCACCATAGAACCTTCATCTGGCGATGGATGGAGATAGAGACACAGACCCACATTGGAGCACCGGACTGATCTCCCAAGGTCCAAATGAGGAGCAGAAGGAGGGAGAACATGAGCAAGGAAATCAGGACCACAAGGGGTGCACCCACCCTCTGAGACAGTGCGGCTGACCTATTGGGTGCTCACCAAGGCCAGCAGGACTGGGACTGAAAAAGCATGGGATAAAACTGGACTCTCTGAACATGGTGGACAATGAGGGCTGATGAGAAGCCAAGGACAATGGGTTTTGATCCTACTGCATGAACTGGCTTTGTGAAGCCTGTTTGGATGTTCACCTTCCTGGACTTGGATGGAGAGGGGAGGACTTTGGACTTCCCACAGGGCAGGGAATGAGGACTGCTCTTCAGACTGGAGAGGGAGGGGGAATGGAGTCTGGGGAGGGGGAGAGGAGTGGGAGGAGGGGGAGGGAAATGGGAGGCGGGGAGGAGGTGGAATTTTTTTCAATAAAAAAATCAATAAAAAATAAAAATAAAAAATAAAAATAAAGTTATGTCATTTCCCTCTCATATAATTTTAGCCAATAATTTCTAAAACTTTTTCATGTATTGGAAAATGTTTAGCCTGCATAGTGGTTCATGCCTTTAACTACAGCTCTTGGGAGACAGAGACAGGCTGACCTTTCTGAGTATAGGATCATTTTGAGGTCTATAGAGTGAGTGCCAGGCTAGTCATGGCTATATGATGAGACATTGTTTAAAAAGCAAACAAAAGCAAACCACAAAGAACAGAAATGCTATATAATCTGTTTCTTAAAGCTAATTGTCACTTTTAGAAAGGTCAACAGTCTATCAGTCTGAAAGAGGATGTATACCCATGATCTATTTTTTATACTTCCTGACACTTATTTGATTGTTAGTTTAGACTAACATTTCTTTCAGTCATTTCAATAAATCAGTCTTTTTATTTTTATTTCAGTAATGGTCAGATTTATGGGTAATTTAGGAAGAAATTAATTACAAATATTTATAGAATTTTTCAGACCTATGTAGCTTGGTGATATTAATATATATAAAATGTATATTAAGTATATGAGTTCTGAAGAGCACAAAGATAATCATGAATTTCTACTTTTCTTTATAACACCAGTGAACTGAATGGTTAGGTTAATAAAACTTAAGTTAAAATCCACTTTCAAATAGAATTTTAAAATATTGTTTTATAGATCTAAAACTAAAAAAAAATATTCAATAATAACAAAATGTGGAAACAACCCTTTCAGTATCTGTGCACTCTACATGAAACTTTCAAGATTAATCTGGACTCAATGCTGTTTCTTTTGTACATTGGGTGCACATATATGAAGCCTTGTATATATCAGAATCAAAATAGTCTTAGTAAGAATTGCATTGTGGCAGTATTTAAGATATGCTCTCTTTACTGTGCTTAAAAGTGAACTTTTCTTTTACTTGTGTTGTACTTATTAGAATCAATGATTATATATTTAAATAATCTATTTAAAACTGGCATTTAGCAAAGAGTCATCTGTAACTACTGATCCTCTTGTTAAGGACTCAATAAAGCTGAGATTTGGCTTTGTGCCACCACGCCAGCTTCTTGGGAACGGTAATTAGTAAATTCCTTAAGGAAAAGAAATATCCTTAATCCAGTCTCTATAAACTTAATGAGAGAGAAGTACTTACATATATATCCTAATAGAGTACACTGAACACAGATAATCACATAGAAACTTTGAAATGAAATTTAATGTGTGTACATACACATAAACTAACACTGTGATATTTATATGTTCGTGGGTGTGTCTTGTATGGTAGTGTATGCAAATATCCTAGCTGATATGATGTAAGGGCAGGAGGATAGACTACATAGACAATTTGAGCTCAACCAAGACTAGAGCTCAGAGAGAGAGAGAAAATGATAATATTGATATAGTCTCAATTTTAACATTTTTATATCTAAGTTCAAGATAATCTTAAATAAAATAAATAATTCAGTGGATATATATTAAAACAGCCCATTTAATAGAATCATGTTTAGGAATATAGTAGTATATTATCTATAAAAATCAGTTCTTTTATCATTTGGTAATGTGAATGGCTTTGAAACACTGGGTATCAGTATTCTTATGGCTCTCTAATTTTATTAGTAATAAGATATTGTGTATATCTTCTTGTACTTAGTATCTCAGACATAATCCTAATAATAGTAAAAGTTACATTGAGCAGGCTAAAACAAAGCACACATGCCTGTTTTACAAATTGGTGGCTCTCATAGAAAGTCCTCCACAGGTATTTCCTTCCACTTATCACAGATCCACACGGAAAGCTGTGAGGTCCTTTACATCATTTCTGTGTCTTGTCCTGGGTTATTAACACAGAGCTCTAGTGTGACTTGCATTTTGTACGAAGTATTTGCAGCTGTCATCGTCCCAATGGTCTTTGAAATTGCAGTTTTCCTTTACATCCCTGATTGCAAATGTATATCTGACTTCTTTCTCTTCAAGACAGACAGCAAAACTCAGAGATGTTTTCTGAAACTTCAGAGCAGACCAAGAATTTTTGTCTGCTTAATTATCTGCAGTGTAACCACTGACCAAACCACCAGTGAACAATTGACCTTAACTTCAGTGGTAATTCTTATACCTTTATTTGATAATAGAAACTGTCAAACAGAAGCAAGGAAATTTACAGAGTCTTGACTTAAGAAAGATAAAATTTTAAAACAACTATAAACAAGTACCCATATTCTAAAATATACTGACTTAAACACCTGAAGTCACTTTGTCTATAACCTTTAAAATATTTAATAATTAATCATTTTCAATGTATTTTATGCTATTTAGAAGGACTCAAATACTGATGTGTAAAATATTTATTTTGTTTCTATTTTATATTTATATAATATAGATTGTTAACATGAAGAAAGATTATTCTTATTAAGCAAAAATTATCTTTTATACCTTTTTATGTCCACTCATAACTCACTAAATTATCTTTAAGTATATTTTAAAAGAGATATCCTAATAACTTCACATATAAACTTGAAAATATGACCCATGCTTTAGTTGTATAAATATGATTTTTTAACAATAGCTTTAGTTTTAAATTCCTTGAATATTCATTTAATGTTGAAAAAATTGTCAAGGAACTTACAAATAAAATATTACAATTATTGCTTCATTCATGAATTATGAAATTCATTTCTATCCTTTATTTACAACTCATATAATTCATTTAGAGTTGTCATTTTCTAA